AATATTAACTGACATTCTGTTGTATTTTCAGTGCCTACCATAATTAATACTCAATTCTTATTAAATATTGATCATCAAATGAATTCTTATGTACAAATGATAAAAATTTTATATCATTTGAGCTCATATAAACATTCTCCCAGCAATGCTATCACAAGAATGTCACCAAAACACTGGAGTGGGTTTTTTTTTCATAAGTATAGTAAATGTTGTCTCTATAATCATGGCTAAACTTGGTAGAGTCCCTTCTGCTCTCATTCCCTGAATCCTCGCAACAACCCTGTGAGGGAAGACGTTACTTTAATTTCTGTCTTGAAAAATAAAACATAGAAATGTCCAGCTCCTTATTCAAATTGACTAAGCTATCCAATACCTTTGCTGGGATACAAACCCAGACAGGTGGGCCTAGGTCCATGCAACTAAATTCTACACCCTGAGCTAAGCATCATGGAATCATTTCAGAGCTCAACTTCCTGGGCTTTACATCTACAGAATGGTTCTTGGACCACCCGACAGAATCCTCTAGCTCCTCGACATTTTGATTCAGTTCTTAGGTTCAAGCCTCTTTTGCAGAAACCCCATAGATTTTTGTCATGAGGCAGTGTGTGGTTTTGGAGGGAGACAACATGAACGCTGGATCCCTAAGACTTACTCACTAGAAAACACTCGCGATGAGGACACTTGACTGGTCCATGGAGGGGCAGCGTGGAAGGCAAATACTTACATGAGCGTGTGGATTCTGTGTGCCTCTCAAGAAGTCCAGAGAAAGCAGTGTATCATGGTAGTGTTCTCAAGTTGGAGAGTTGGAAAACTTTTATGATATAACCCTAGAGAAGTGCCAGGGACCTACTCCATGTTTCAGGTTGACATTGACTGCAAATAGTCACCTAAACTGTAAACCTTTCCACATCACAAGAAGGGAATACAGATCTTGTCTGCCTTTCGACACATCACATCTTTTTTATTAAGAGATAATATGTGTCATTGTTTATGACCATAATAAAGCCATACTGCTACTTTGAGCATAAAGTCACTATGGTAACAATTTTTCTGATTAAATTCAGAGATGCAATGCCTTCTGCTAATGGAAGGCACGACTAACAACAGGCACTCTGTATCACTCTATATTGGGGCTCGTTTTACTTTATGCCAGGCAAGGCTTGAGGTTAACTTACCTAATGCAAAGCCTATATCATAATATACAATAACTCGTGCTGCATGATTAATCATTTAATAAAAATCTTACTGGTTGGAGCTTTTCAAAGGCAAGTGCAAAATGAATGATATCATCAGAGGGAAAAACATAAAACTTGGGGGATCTTACAGTCAATAGTTGTAGTTGTCGATATTCAAAAACAAAATTGTATCTTGGATTATCAAAGTTAACACATGTCACTGTACATCACAGTGGGAAGTTTTAATTTTTTATCATATTACTTTACTCTGTGTGTGTGTGTGTGTGTGTGTGCGTGCGCGCTCGCACATATGCACATGCTCATGCATGCCGTGGCGCACAAACGGACATCAGAGGGCAGCTTGTGTGAGGATGTTATCTCTTTCTACCATGCATGTCCTCGGAATTAAACTCAGGTCTTCTTACTTGACAGCAAAGGTCTTAACCTTCCCAGTCATCTTGCCAGCATAGGACTTTGTGATCATAGCATTTTCTTATATAACATCAAGTCTCCTTACCTGGTTACCTACACCTTGGTGGATTTTTTTTTTTAGTTACTTGTCCAATGGAAAATATTTCACGGACATCTTGCAAATGGTGCAATAAATTTTCTTCTATCCGAGCAACTGAACCGTAGAAGCAGAGTTTCAGAACAATTAGAACAGTGATGGGGGCGCCTTCCCTCACTGAACCCTTGAGACACTCCACAGACACTTGGTCGCCAGCTAATAGTGCTGATTTGGAAGACCGTGGTATCTTTGGGAGACTGCACCTCACTGCAGGAAGCGGACCACTGGAGGCAGGCCTTGGGGATTGAGAGCAGCCCCACTTCCTGTCTGCTGTTTTCTGAGGACAGCAGCCTCCTGCCCCTGCCTCTCTGTCTTCCCTACCATCATGGACTGACTTCTTTCAGACTCTGAGCCAAAATAGGCCCTTCCTCCCCTAGGTTGTCTCTAATCAGGGAATTTGTCTCCGCATCTAAAATACTAGGGCCGCTCAGCATTTCATTTACCAAGTGCGTGCAGTCATAGGAAATCAGAGGCATCGCTTGTAAAGAAGATGCAATCATAGCATCCGTAAAAGGAATTTGTTCTTCCACCCTGGCAAGCGGCCCCATAACGATGCTCAAAAATCCACTGGACGGATTAGGGGACCCAGGTACTTTCCTCAGGTGTTACAGCTCATGAAATGAAGCGACATACTGAACGTCTTAACAAAGGTTTCGGAGCAGCAGCGTATACTGGATAAAATGAGAAAACTGGCTGGGAAAATGCAGTCAGCATTCCAAGGCAGGAGGCAGCAGATGCCAGCATTTCCCCAATCATATATTAAAATATCTTTGTACAGGTATACTTTATGTAAGTAGTGGCACTATGAATGCTGTATTTACACAAGGGAGCCCAGAACTTCAATGTTTGCTTACATACCAGCTATGGTTGCCATTTAATATTGCTTTTTCTTTTCTTCTTAAATGCCAGATGAGTAAATCACAGGAATAAAAACTGTGAGCTCGCTTAAGATGAAAGGCCTTACTTAGGATTTTGATAGTTTTTTATTGTATATTGAGGTGTGAGAGGCATGCGAATTATTCAATCAATTAGTTCTGCTCCTATCCAACTCTGACTTCAAGTGCCATAGCAAATATTTTCACCGACTTAGAGATGGAGTAAAACATACTGCATCTTGATAAACATCTGAAATATGTCAGTATGATGAGCTTGCTGCTATTCATGAACTATATTCACAACATTTTCAAAAACTCCAGTGTATCATTTATGACCAAAACTACTGCTGCCTTGGTTTCCCTTGATTCTCTTTAAATCCTTAAAATGTTTCGTTGCCTTAAGTCATCCCTGTAGTTGCAAGGATGGATGCTGGTGACAGAAAATGATTTTGAAACATCTTAGGTGGACTTAAGAAAGACCCTGTCTGCCATACACTGCAGGTATGGGCTCTACGCTAGTGATTCCTCTGCCCTGTCATTCCTGGGAGTATCATTCATTCGGTCAAAAAGAATGCTATTATCTGAAATCATTTGCATATCAATGAATTATTTTCTGCAGCAAAATCTCAAAGGGTGATGTAAAATTGTAGGTAGGTGAGCCCAGGGTCGATACTACAATCTAGGAGTTTCCATAATTTTGGTCCCATGGAAATGCTTGGGAATTGGGTCTAAATTTCCTAAGGAGTGGACATGTGCAATGCCTCTATTTCAACAGTGTCCATTCTGGTCACTTACGATTATAATACCAACAACTTTCCCTGAAGCAGGCAGCAAGCTTCTGCTACTACCAAGGCTGATGAGAGAACAAGAGGCTCTGTGGCTGGTGAAGGACAGAGTGTCGTGATTGGCAGGACACCTGGGGGTGGGGGTCATCCATTGGACCTTCATGCTCTAACCCCAGGAACCCTTTCTACGGGGCTTAAATGGGCCTACTTGTTTTCCACTTTTGTTATTAAAATAGAAGTGGGAATCTGCTTTCCCCAGCCTATCAGCATCTCTCTCCTCAGCCTGCCTGACCTTGAGGCTGTGCAGCTGCTCTGGCGGAGTTAAAAATGGACCTTCATGCTGGCTTTAGTTTCTGTTGCTCTGCCTGCAAGTGTCCTCCCACTGATCTGCTTAGCACCCCCTCTTTACCATTTCTGTTGTTGTTTTTCTGACAAAGAGTTTTTAGCCTAGACAGCTGATCCTGCTTTTCAAGGCCCTAACCTGTAGGTCCTTTGCACATGTAGTTCCCAAAGCGCGGGACTGGTGCGGGAACCTCTCTGCTTGAACAAAACCCACAGCCCCAAGTATCTCCGCACTTTCTTCTTCTTTTGATCCTCGGCGTCCCGGCTGGGAATACTCACACCTAGCAAATCCTATGCTGTGGGCTCAGGGTAGCAGGGCAGAGGGAATAGGGTGACATGGGGTGTTCGAGGAAACACCCCAGTAGGGTTTGGCGGCTTGCTTTTATGAGTGTGCATCACCTCTGCTTGCTTTTGCCCAGGACTCCTCGCGAGAGTCAGGGGCATTATCCCAGCAGGATAACTCTTTAGTCTCCTGCCTCCAAACTTTTGAAGACCAAAGCCTAAAACTTCTTCCAAAACAGGCCTACCCGGAACTTCAGCTTCTGGGAATGGCTATTGCTCCAAACTATCCTGCGGGTGGAGCAGGCAACGGAGATCCCGTTAGTGGTTTTGTTTAGTTTCTTGGCACTGCCCCCACTTCAATTCAAGCTCCCTGCTTTCAGAAGCCAGGTCTTAGAACAGTGCCAGGCTCGCCCTGGCCGCGGAGAAAACGTTTCAGTCACAGATGTAGCATCCCCAAAGATGTCCCATTGATTCCTGAGTGCAGCTGAAGCCAGAGAGCCCTAGCCACATCCGACCACCTGCAGAGACTGGGTGCGGACTGGAGTTGATGGGTTAGCTGTCAGAACATGGGCATAAAGGCTGCTCACAGAATACCAACTCAACTAAGCCAAGTACTTATTCAGGATGACACAGCAAAGCCTCAGGCCATGGCTAACAGGACCTGGAGCTTCCTCCTGCCTGAACAGCTCCTTCTCCAAGACCTGGGTAGTCTGAACTTGGAAGAACGCAAGCCATGGGCAGAAGCTAACATCAAAGAATCCAGGTTAGTAGCCAAAGGGACGTAGGTAGTCCTTAAGGTGAATTGCAGTCAGGGTGACCAGTGGCCTACCCAGGAAGCAGCAGGTGTCCGCCCAACTGGTGGCTGATCCTCAATTTCCAGAGGCTGATCTAGGCCCCTGTCTCCACTGGGACTGAAAAGCCTGCGACCTGACCCGACAGGGGCGGGCCGGGGCACGGGCCGGGCGGGTGGCGCAGGTGGGCGTGCCGGCCAGGCAGGGAGGCAGGACCTATAAAGCACTCTGTGTTCCGGAGGCGGAGCGGCAGGGCGCAGCCTGTGCGGGTGGGCGCGGTGACCCGCAGCCTTTGGCTCGCAGCGGGACTGTGCCGGGGACCACTGTCCAAGGATCGGGCTACTGAGGGACGTCTGCCTCAGTTTACCCCCTCACCGTCCGGTGAAATCCCTGCAGGTGAGCGGCCGTAGGAGGCGGGAGTGGGCAGGGTCACTTCCCAGTTGTGCTAACTTTCGAGCTACTTTCAACTGGTTGGCTGTAGTTGGCGTCTCTGCTCCCTGGGCTTTGTCAACTTGAGTTACTAAGGCTAGCCCCTCCCTCTGGAAGGGCAGTGCCCGGACTAGTTCTCTCTGGCGATGCCGGGACTCCGAGGAGCCTTTGCACTTCTTGAGTGCTTTTGCAAACTTCTCTCGCTTTTTCCCTACAGCGCCTTAGGGAAAACCGTTCTGCTCCGCGAGGGAAACAGAGCCGTTGACCATGGTTGCAACGGGCAGTTTGAGCAGTAAGAACCCGGGCAGCATTTCAGAGTTGCTGGACGGTGGCTATCATCCTGGGAATCTGCTAAGTGGTGAGTCGCCCGGCTGCCCACCTCTCTCCTATCCGAAGGTCGCGGCTCCTCTCTAGATAGTGTAAGCGTCCCTGACTGAGCGCACGAGACCTCATTCCCTCCTAGATAGAGAAGACTATGAAATCCATCTCAGATGTCTTTCTAAACTTCCTTAGCATTGTCTGCCGGCCAGAAACAAACGTAACGAGAATACTGTGTTGCTCTAGTCTGCTAACAGGCTCTTGAGGATGAAGTTCCCTATCCTCCTGGTTGGGACATTAAGTGTTCAGCTGGGTGTGTTTTAAGACATGCATTTACTTGTGTAACCAGAACCACTACATATTCCTCCCAAATTCTTCTCTGCCCATTTGCCATCTATTCCCTCTCTTTCACATCCCCAGAGAACCATCTTTCAGTGTTTTGTTACTATGTTAGTTTTGCTCTTAGAGTGTTGGATGATAATGCAATCTGTGTTCTTCTGAGTTCGGTTCGCTTTTCCACAACTTAATATTTTGGAGCTACAGCCTTCCCTATTAATGTGTTACTTTCCGTAACTAAGTAAGATTCCATTGTGAAATGAATCCACTACTCTATTCCTAATGTCAGCAGAACAGTTTGATAGCCCTGGCCCCACGCAAATCATCCTGTGCAGCTCTGAATCGCAGCTCCTAATTTAACAGGCTACTCTGCTACCAAAGATGGTGTGGGCACAGATTAAGCTACTTAAGCTCCTTGCATCTTCCTCATGTGTAAGATAAAATTAAGGTAATCCTATAGGACCAAAAACTCTAAAATTGTCTTCAGTGTAGCTAAAATACAGGTAAAGTACAGATATGATTTGAAATGTATTAGTTTAAAAAAAGAACAGCGACCCAAGTGAACGCATGAAGTAGAAAGCAGGGAAAGGTGAAGGAGGTTTGAGGCCACTGTGTGGTGTGGCACCCTGCCAGGCGGTAGGATTAATTTGGAAGGTAGGTGACCAAATGCAGAGCGATCTATTTTCCTCTGAGCAAACCCAACTTTGTTTTCCTGGGTCTGTTTTGTTTTGCACAGCTAAGAAAAACCTACCCAGCCCAGTTATAAATAACCTCATGAACCTCAAAGGTCCCCTCCTCTGTGAGCAATCTTTAATCAAACAGCTCCAGGCTAAAATTGGACCTTCAGGCCATTCTAGCAAAGACTTTTAAAGAAAACTAAAGAGCTGGGTAAATCATCGATACTGGGATGGACTTATTAACAAGTGCTTGCGATCATTCTGTGTTTAAATACATACACACCAACGGTCCCTTTGTGAAGCAAAAGTAATGATTTTTTTATTCCAGATGTTACACTTGTTCGCTGAAAAAAAAACACTAAAATAAACTTGGAAAACCCTACAGAGAGAACAAGCGAGAAAGGAAATAACTAGTAATCTCGGATGACCACGGATAGGTTTTTGCTGCATAATCCTCGAGACTCTGAGGAGACATAGAAATCTAAAGAAAAGTTGTTTGCACCTAGGCACCGTGTTCATCCATGTCTTGAGTGCACGGATAAGCTTTCAGACTTGAACGGTTAAATGACTTATTTTACTGCCTATGGGTTAATGGCAAAGTGAGGCACGCTAACTCTCAAAGCTGTATCCAAAGCAGTTAGATGTAGAAGCTCGTGGTGCCAGGCTTTCCTGTGTCAGGAAGACACATTTCTCTCATCTCTAAAACGCTCCTTTCTTTCAGATTTCGACTACTGGGATTATGTTGTCCCTGAGCCCAACCTCAACGAGGTGGTATTTGAAGAGACCACGTGCCAGAATTTGGTTAAGATGTTGGAAAACTGTCTATCCAAATCAAAGCAAACCAAACTGGGTTGCTCCAAGGTCTTGGTCCCTGAGAGACTGACCCAGAGAATTGCTCAAGATGTCCTGAGGCTCTCTTCCACGGAGCCCTGCGGCCTTCGGGGCTGTGTGATGCACGTGAACTTGGAAATCGAGAATGTGTGCAAAAAGCTCGACAGGATCGTATGTGATGCGAGTGTGGTGCCCACCTTTGAGCTCACACTCGTGTTCAAGCAGGAGAACTGCTCGTGGACCAGCCTCAGGGACTTCTTCTTTAGCCGAGGGCGCTTCTCGACAGGCCTCAGGAGAACTCTGATCCTAAGCTCAGGATTTCGGCTCGTTAAGAAAAAACTGTACTCTCTGATTGGAACGACGGTCATTGAAGAGTGCTAAGGAGGAAAAGCCATTAAAGGTTCCTAATGAGTGGATAATAAACCTCTAACGCTGTTCAGTCGGTCATGTGTAGTTTGCCTGCCTGCCCTCACCAAGAACTCCCAGATTTAGGCCATCTTCCTTCTGTGTCTCCCACCCATAGCAACCTACTTAAAAGGCTGATTTTTTTTTTTTTGGCTTTTAAGACATAATCCAAGAGAGCAAAATGTCCACATGTGTCCGTATAGAATGGGATGGAATAAGGAAGAAAAAGAAGCAAGGCATTTCAATTTTATATTCAGTCTTGTATTTAACAGGTAGTCTAGGTAACAGAATAAGACACACTTTGCCTAATTTGGCTTTCGTATGCCTAGGGCTTTTTGTTGTTGTTGTTCTCTCTCTCTCTCTCTCTCTCTCTCTCTCTCTCTCTCTCTCTCTCTC